AGTAAACTATATCTATATGTTATCTTGTAACTGGTAATTTTATTCGGTTAGACTTTTATTATGTTCAAATTTAAATTTGTCATCAATTTGTGTCTTCTTATGGATCTTGTATGCCTTCAAAGTTCAAACAGACTGTTAGTGTTTGGACTTTTGTTTTTGCTGTTTGGAACAGAAAAAGCTCAAAAAAGGTCCACTAACCAAATAAACTATCTACTCTAATCGAATTTATTTCAGTTAATTTGGTTTAGTTAGTTGTTGCATTTCGGTTTCGGTTCAGTTTTGTAAGCATGTACGCTTTGGTTATTTAATTAGTTCAATTATCATCGATAACATAATCGAATAATTGAATACTCAGCCCTAGAAGAGAGAAGCAGGTTACTTTATTAATGAGGCTTTCACCAATGAAAATATAACATTAACTATCTCTTTTCTAAATTCTCGTTCCGTGCTTACCATAGAACGTGCTTATCACTATAATACAATTTAGACTATTTAAAATTTGATATGAATATTAAGATTTAATTTAAATTTTTTAATTTGTAATTTTTTTCATTGATAAATTAATTTTTTAAAGAAATATTAGTTAAAAGATTATTTTTATTTTAAATTTTAAAAGACTATTATGCTACTGATTTTTCGTTGATAAATTAATTGCATTTTTATTTTTTATTTTTCAACATTGTTTTAAAAACAGAAAACCAAACAGGCCCGATATTTCCCAAATGTTTTTCACCACTGTTACTTTTTATTATATATACAATTTGTACACTCTATGGAATTTTCTAATTCGGATAAGGACCATTCTGTTTTTTTAATTTTTATTTAGAAAAAAGAGTCTACCAATATATAACTTGTCAAATTTATGAGTTTAATAAATTGATCCAGTTAATTCGACCTACTTTGATATAAGCATGTGCCAAACACACACTACATCCATAAATGATTTAATCTTCCTAAATTTGATAAAAATTCAAAAGGGAAAAAAAAAGAGAAAATCATTGAACAGCAGCGGCTACAATAATATCCATGTGTCCATTACCATAAATAACTAATCACAAACGAAAGATCCATCTAATTTTTTTTCCTGCAATAATTGAGTTGCGTTTATCACAAAAAACAGACCCTGTCATGCCAGACATTTCACTTACTATATAATTCTAGAAAAATAAGTTACGTATAGATCATCGGGAAAATATATATGTAGTATATATGAACAGACCTGATGGCATAATTAATTAATTAATTAATCAATCAATTAATTCAGAAATTAAACTCGAACCCTAATAGTTATGAGCATAACTGCAATTCGTTGAACCAGAAAAGAACGTATACCAAACTCTACAAAAAGAATGAAGACATATGACCAAGAGGATACTTGGTGAATTGATGGATCAACAAGATTATAAAGTGGGAGAATTATGTTTCAAGTTTCACCTTATTAAAAAGGTCCCTTGGAGAGAGGCATTATGATCGTAAAGCATCAATATGATTCAGGGCAGTTGGTTGCTAGAATACTTGATAATAGGATTCAAAAAAAATACTCATCCGATCTTTAATATATGATATATTTAACTATTTTGATTAAATTAAGAAAGTTAGTTAAGTTAGGTAATAATTATAAACATGGCATATATTTCTCAAAATACCCTCAGTTAAAATTTTTTTAAAAAATATTTTAAATTATTTTATTTAAAATATAAAATGAAAAAATTAGTGTATGTTTGGAAGTAATAAGTACTACTAAATATTAGATGATCAGGAGGGTTATAAAGGAAAAAAGAATGGGGACATATAATATCATCTCACATGTAATGTCACGTTCGCAAGTCAGAAAGAATCATTTTTATTTTTATTTTTTAAATTTTCACGTACACTTCATTTTAATTAATTATACAATCATACGAAGGCAGATAAAGACGGAGGAACAACGCATGTCTGAGATTTTGAGGATGAAATCTTTAATTAATTATTGGGAAAAAAATCCTGTGTGCTTGAAAATATATATTTCTATATATCTAATATAAAATTTAGAGAAAATTAATTTATAAGTTTTATAGTTTCATATTAGTTTTAGTTAGCTCGCCATAGTTTTTTTTATTAAGTCCCTACAGTGTTTTTTCAATTATAAGCCTTACTTTCTATGCTTATAATTTATTAACTTTTGAGAGAAACAGTATTAATTTGCAACAGAAAGTTACTATCATAATTTTTATTTTTTGTCAACAATAAATAAATTTTGATCGATTAATTTATTTTTAAAAAAACTTATTTTATATTTTTATGACAACTTACATGTCACTTAGTCAGTATTTCTATCAACTTTAATTAAAATATTATGAGTATTGAGATTAAAGTCTATAATTGAGAAAACTGCAATACTCCAATTAAAAAGAAAAAATGATAGAAATCGGATTAAAAACCAGTTAATAAAATTATAAGTATCCACAAATTAATTTTCCTTATATAGAAATAGTTTCCAATAAATTGAATTCCTTCTCAGGCCAAAAACTTTTAATTAAATTCCTTTGGATAATTTAAAATTCCCATTAGCCGTGGGAATTTGTTTTTTAAGGTTTCGCAAGTAGATGCTTGCTTTGATCAACTTGAGTTATCAGCTCTCAATAATTGTTTTATTTATTTATTTATTTATTGCGTATGAACAAAGAATTGAAGTACTATAAAAGAATTCACTATAATTTATTTGGTTATGAAAGTTTGACAAAAGCTAACATATATTTATCTTGTGAAAGCTAACTTGATCCTCACGAAATATGTAGAATTTTCTTGTGCCCTTTTTGTTACGTATATTTATATTATTGTTTTTGCATTTTAAATTGATGAGATTATAGAATCAAGATAAATAATTTACGTTGTGAGCTGACTAGAAACAAAGCATATTACATTACTATTATCATTATAATCATTCTTGTGGTCGTTAGTTGCTCTGTCACTTCCATCTTTGTCGCTTCCTACCATTATTTTAAATTATCACCTACTCTATTATTTTTAGTATCATTAATCAATATCAATGGTACATATAATTTGTATATTTAATGATGCTAATATACATAATTTTTCAAAAAAAGCCATAAAAATTCCCAAAATCAATACATAGTTATACTTACTGGCATGGGCAAAGCTAAAAGGTTCATAAGTTGAACATGTCAGCTTGGATGAAATAGTTGGTTTAACTCATTTAACATATATCTATTTTGATATGATTATGATATACTACCCCTGGTCCTAATTATAAGAGCTAGTTGACTAATTTGAGGAGATCAAGGAAGTAAGTTAAGTTAGTTATTTATAATAAATAGTTGTCTTTTTTAAAATATCCTGGTTAATCAAGGGTGTTGGTTAGAACTACCATTATTTGAAGGACAACCTTAGAAAAAAAAAACATAAATATTAGAGACAAAGTGGATTGAAGTCTTATATTTAGGACCAAAATTAGAGTCAAACTAGGTCTTATATTAAGGACCGGAGGTAGTATATTTATTATTATTTTAATATTTCATATAACAATAAAAATTAAAAGACACTGGTTTATTTATTAATAAAAGCTACATAGTAAGTTGAGTTATCCTCAAACAATGAAAATAATAATACGTCTTTTCTTTTAATCCCCGGAAGCTATGTCTAATTATTATATGTAAAGACACCTCATGTGTCTTGTTTGTATACTATCGATTGATGTGGATGCAGTTATTAATGTACATGTGAATTTTAAATTTTTTTTATATTATTATCTGTTATCTTGCACTTTTTCTGAACCGTATTTATGAATTTTAAATATTTAATTATTTGTTAAATGGTTCGACCAACCATATAATTTCCCTCAGTGTAACTTAAGGAGTGTTTGGTTATCCAAAAAAGTACTTTTCATAAGTGTTTCCGCACAAATCAAAATAAAACTTCTCTTATTTACTTACTTCGTAAATCATAAAGTGACTTTTAAAATTATGATTTGGTAACACCTTCTAATCATAGTAGGCTGCTTAAATATATTTTAGTGAGAGTTAGTTTACCACAAGTTTTTATCCAAAGCTTGCTTTTATACGTGCCTATATTGTGTTTAATTTATACCGCCTTCTATCTCTTCGTTATAAGCTATCTCTACTCACCTCATCAAAATTGAAAAGAGATTATTAGGTCATTAACTTTGTTTGAAAATAAAGAAAAAATTGCCCATATTTATTACCATCAGTTACACTCAATAAGCCATTGAAAATACAGTTAATGATATTTTAAATAGAATATTCTTTTAAAAAAAAATTTAGTTAATGTCTTAGTTATAATAAGAATCATTTTTTTAAAAAAAAATGCCTTATAAATTTATAATCCTCTTATCCTTAATATAAAAGCTGCTTAACAATTTGAGTAAATTAAATAAATTACTTTCATTCTAACAAATGTGATCAGATTTCTCTAAAATATCCCCTAATAATACTGCCTCCGATTTTAATATAAGAATTAGATAACTAATTAGTAAATATTAAGAAAATTAATTTAATTATTTATAACAAATGTGTCTTGGTTTTCTCAAACTATTTTGTCTATTGAATCATGTACATTGAAATAACCCATTAATTGAGAATTCCTCATTATATATAATCAACAGGAATACTTTATAAAAATAAAATTATAAATTTCACAAACAAAATGGGATGTGAACTTATATAAAATTGCAAGAAACAAGAATTAATGTTCAGTGGGATTGCGTTGAAACTGATGGTTATATGTAGAAATACCAACAACCTCGCTCTTTCCTTCTTGTTGCTAGAAGCAAGAGTAAATGAAAAAATTAAATGGAGAGAGGCACATGTTCTGTGTTTTACAAGCTCTCAAAAGTCAAAACATTTTATTCTTTTTTTTTTTTTCCGGAATAAATCAAAACATTTTATTCTCTTACAGTGCCAAACACAACTGAACATGGAAGACCAACAAAGGAAGCCCCGTTCAAATTAAACTCAAACCACTTTTACAGTTTACACATCTCCTTGTCATCTTCGGAATTCCATAACCATCTTCACGTATTAATTAGTATACAATATATACATACAAACTCACATCAGGATTCAGAAGAAGAAGAAATTAAGGGAAGCAGAGTGCTTGATATATACATAGCTAGTGAAGATTGGTGGGGGTGATTTTGATGACAAGTCCAGGAAAAACATCATCAGGATCATGAATATGAGGATTTTGTTCTACGATGAACGGGTCGCCGCACTTGTGGCTGATGGAATGAAGAGTCTCGCCTTCTCCGACGACATATATCTCATCGCACGGCCGTTCAAGCAGCTTCTTCCCTCTGATATCGTCGCCGTCGCCGTCGCCGCCACCACCACTGCTCTCTCTGATACACCCCAATAATATCAAACCCAGAAGTACTGCGCCGCAAAACCACGAAGTTGAATCACCTTTGGTACTGCTCCTGCTTGTCTTCATAGTTCTCGATGATAGTCGTCGCAGCTCTTGAACTAAGCTCAAGCCAGACCCGTTAATGATATGAAGGAACTGGTTATTTGAGAGGTGTATATATATTATCGGTTGAGGCGAGAGATGTATGTTAGAGAGAGAAAGGAAGTTCATGGGTGTGCTTCTGTGGGGATGGGTAGGTTCAACGACTTAAGTCATAGAGAGAGAGAGAGGGGAAGGAAGCAGTCAAATTGGCGTTTGCGTTGGGGAAGATTATTATCACAAGGACGGCGTCGACTAGTATATGTTTGGGCAAACGAATCATCACATAGAGGACTTTGATGATTCTGATTTCAGGACTAATTACTTAGTCGTGTTGAAGGGATAGATAATGATGAGAACATCGAAATTTTCGTATCTGGTGGAATTTTTCCATTTTGGAGGAAACACGCTTGATGGTACTGTGCATAGCCCATTTTACCCGCCACGAAAAATAATCGAAATTGTACATTGCTGATAAATTAAAGGGAAAACCTATATATTTTTAAAATTTTTAAATTTAATACCTATATATATTTTTTCTCTTTATTAAATTATTATTTAACTTTGTTTTGTTGAAACCGTAACCTCTATATAGTAACTAACAATGCCAATTGCCAACAGTATAAAGTTACAATAAATACAAAACTAACAAAACACAATTAAAGAGTTTAATAAAGAGGTAAAAAACAACACGGATATCAAATTGAAAATTGAGTGAAAATATAGCCACTTGTAAAATAATTTTACCTTAATTAAATATAAGTGGTATAGTAAAATTTTATGAATGTTTAATGTAATTTTTACAAAAGGAAATGCCCTTCATAAATAATGAATTAGGGAGTACCACTCTATTGCTATTTATAAGTCACTTGGATTCTAAATTAGCTAAGAAATACATTAAATTGATAATTTTTTTTAATTTTTGCCTTTATTAAAAGGAAGGGTATTAAAAAATATGTGTTATATTTTCTCACACCTATTTAAGTTAATAGGGATAAAATTAAAAAAAACTCATTAATTATCCAACAAGTAATTTATATTTATAAATAAATTATTTTTTCACTTAATATACCGATCCCAAGTCGTACCGACTCAAGGGGAGTGTTTGACACGTGGCATTCATGCTCAGTAATAAATGTGGTGATCCAAATTCCCAATTTTTTTTTGTTAACAAAATTCTCAAGTTTTGACCGGGAAATTGGGTGCCTGAAGTCATGAAGCACGTAAATATGATCAAAAATTCAAAATACAAGCGGTTATGAATAAGCCTTACTTAAAATAAGAATCATGTCCGTATGTCTATAATACCCATTTTATCCTATTTATTATAAGTTGTTTTCAGTATATTTTATCGTATTTAAGAAAAATTTTAAATTTTGTTAATTCTATTTTGAAACTTAACAACTCTTCAATTTTATCTTGTTTATACACTGCATTTTTCCAAAAAAAAATGTATTGATGTATACAATAATAAATAAAAGATAAAACAATATATTTATGTGAAAAATTCAATAATACTCCTCCGGTCCTAATTATAAGACCCAATTGACTTATTTGAGAAGATTAAGGAAGTAAGTTAAGTTGGTTATTTATAATAAATAAGTGTTGTTATTCCTAAAATATCCTTGCTAATTAAGTATATTGGCTAAAACTATCATTATTAAAAGGATTATCTTGGAAAAAAATGCATAAATATAAAAGAGAAAATGGATTGGGTCTTATAATTAGGACCAAATAAAAAGTCAAATTGGGTCTTATAATAAGGATCGGAGGAGTACAATTTATTAATAAGATCAGAAGGGGGAAAGCAGGTTGTTGTACTATTTTTTAAAAAAATAAGTTTAAAAGAGAGGGGCGTTTAAATATGAAAGTTCATAGTCCAACTCGGCAACATAAAAGCATAGGTCGGCATTCGCATGGGGTCATCACTGGTTAGCAATTGATTTGAAGCCGATGGCTCTAATAATAAAAGCGACGAATTTTCAATTATTCAAAAAGTATTAAAATATGTACAGAGGTATATCTATCATAGTCCATCGAAGAGAAACATATAAAAGCCGTCTTAATTGACTACTCTAACAAAAGAAATGCCCTCATATATAACTTTTTTTTTTCAATCGCAGTCATCTTTATCTTAAAAAATTAAATGAAAATTCGTTGGCAAAAACATTAGAATAAAAATTACATATACATCTCAAATTAAAAAAATTAAAAAAACAAAAAATACAATAAAAAAGTTCAATTTTTTTAACAGTTTTACAAATTTAATTTGCAAATAGTGTTATGAAAGTATGATTTGTAAACATACTGTAAATATAACAGTTTGATTTGTAAATGATGTGTTTTTTTTACAGATATTTCTTCTAAAATAAATACAATGATACAATTTAGGACAAAGAGAAATTGCCACCTGCTGATTATTGGGGTGTTTGGCTCAAGAGGAGCGACCACGTAGGTGAAGGACGAGGCTGCGTGCGCGCGCGCGCGCGCGAGAGAGAGAGAGAGAGTTATTTATTAAGTCTTGAGTATCTTTGTTGCCAAGATAAATCATGAATTTTCTTTATTTTCAAAATATTAAATAAAAAAATCCCATAACAGAAGGTTGATTTAATTTAAATCTACATGTATAAAACAATTGAAACAGACAATTCTGTGCATTTTTCTCATTTGCGTACTATGTTTCTTAATAATTTTCGATTCCTGTGTACTAATTAAGTTACTAACCCTGTTGTTCTGCTTCATTTTTAACTTCACAAATATTGATTTTTTTTTGGGTGTAACTTCACAAATATTTTTTTGTTTTGTTATACACAAGTATATTTCTATTGAAGATAATCTTATTTGAGATACTGTTGAGCACTAAAGTCTTGTTTGGTACAAAATATTGAAAATAAAAGATTGGGATTGGGATTGCAATTAAAAAAAATCATTAAAATAGTATTTAATATGAGTAATTGCTTGTTATATGGGATTAGGCAAACTCATAGGGGTGGGATTGGGGAATACCACTCCCCCCTGTGGTATTACCCAATCCTATATTCATAAGTTTGGCTAATCTTTTATAACAAGCAATCTCTTATGCTAAATATTATTTTAGTAGATTTTTCTCAATCCAAATCCCAATCCCTATCCTAATTTTTAATGCTTCTTACCATACCTAAATGTAGATACTTCTTTGAGTGGGATTTTTTTTTTGTGCCAGCTCTTTGAGTGGGAATTTAAACCTTAATTTTTCAAATTGTGAGCCACTAACTTTTTTTTTAGATTCTTGATTTCACAAATATGCGAGTGTTTTCAGATGCGGTGTCCTTGAAATGAAAGTGATTGGGTCTGTGCATGGTGAGAAAGAGAAACCCACCAATCAATAAGAGCCCAGAGGCTTCTTTTGGGCTTTGATTGTAAATCAACGTGGGGTTTGGGGCACACGCAAAACGGTTTTTCAAATGGGAGTGGCTAGAGATAAAATTATGACGGGCTAATTAAGTATAAATGTGGATGCAAGGGTTTGTGTTAATGGGCCTTGGGCTTAAATTTATGGCATTTATTTGTTTAGGATTAAAATATACATTTAGTTCTTTAACTTTATGTAAAGTTTCAGTTTAGTTCATTAACTTTAGAAAGTATACTTTTTGTCCTTTAATCCCAAAATTACTAGTCTTAAATAATAATTTTTTTATAACATTCACGGTTATTTTGAATATTAAACTTAATATGTTAGTCTTTAGTAATGTTTTATTAACATGCAAGAGATTAATATCATTTTTGTTAACAGTTTTAGAGTTAGAGGACTAAAAATTTACTTTTTAAAATTAAGAGAGTAAAATAAAACCTTGTAAAAAGTTAAATGACTAAAAGTATGTTTTAGCCTTTGTTTAATTTAAAATAAGAAATTATTTTAGACTATACCTTTGAATAGTACAGAGAATACAATCAGGCCGACTTTATAAAGTAGGGTCAAACTTGTTATCTTGTAGAAACCCTAATCATTTTGAAATAATGAATCATGCATTTGAAACAATAGATCCATTCAAATCAATGTCAAAATGACAATAATAACAAGACTAGGATAAGTATCATGCATTTGGATAGAATTTGAGATAAGCCATATTATTTATTTATAAAATACTCTTTCAGTTTTAAATTTAATTTACACTGCAAAATAAATTTTATATTTAAGACTGAAGGAGTATTATTTTTCTTTATGCTAAACAAGTGGTATTGAACTTAGTTTATTAGATACTTCTTATAAATATCAGCTAAGTATTGTGAATAGATTGCTCCCAATTGTTCAATTATTTCATAGCCAAAGTCTTTTTTTTTTGGGGGATAAATAGTTATTATGACTTGTGCTCAATAAAATTTGATCAATTTTTTGCCATTAAGGTAGATAACTAGACCAATAATTTTTTTTAATCATCAAGCAAATCACTGCTATTTTATTATCAATTTTTTTTCTAAGCAATAGACGGCTTTACTTATAAAACTTAGGACCCTTTCGAAATAGCTTATAAATAACTTTTCAATCATAATTTACAAAATATAAGATAAGTATGTGGAAGGAGTTTTGTTTCAATTTACATGAAACGTGCTTCTAAGTGTTTTTAAATGCTATCCCAAACAAGCCCTTAGACTTTTTATATTTTTGCCTAAAATATATATTTGATCATTTAACTTTATATAATATTTTAATTTGGTTACTTAATTTTGAAAAGTACATTTCTAGTACTTTAATCTTAAAATCATTAGTCTTAAATGATGACTTTTTATAATAATTATGATTATTTTAAAAAATACACTTAATATGTTACTCATTTGGTCCTATTTTGTAAAGCAGAGAGAGAAAATATTTTTTGGTCCTATTCATAGGACACTGAGAGAAATTTTTTGTAAACATGTACAATTTTATCCTTCATTTATTATGATGTTGACTTTGTTTAGATGAGGTATAATATATATTAAATAAAGATAAAGTTGAAAAGTTATTGAATTTTAAATGAGAATTAATGAAGTTTAAGGTTTTTCTTGATCTTTATAAAATAGGAGTGTGCATGAAGCCTAAATGCTAGCTGAGCCCACCCGAGCCCAAAGAAAAATTGCCCAACCCAGCCCGAAAAAAAGAGCCTGAAAAAGAATGGGCATCTTTGGGCTGCGCATTTCGGGAGTGTTTGGGAAGTACCATAAGTGCTTCTGAAAAGTACTTTTCTGCAAAT